TCAAGTGACCCATCCAGGTTAAACTGCAGCATAGGCCCCCAGCCCAGAAGGGACGAAGCACGCAATGTATTCAGTTATCCAGCCCAGAGGCCCAGCCCGTATCCCGGAGCCCAGCCCAGGTTACTACTAAAACCCAACCAAGCACTACCACGCCTCCTCCTCCACCAAACCCGCCTACACTCGCCGCAGCAGCAATGGCGGCGGAAGAAGCAGCCGCCTCCGCCGCCACCAACTTCGAGGTGGACCTGGGCCACCTCCTGGCCTACGACCCCTCGCACCACCTCGCCGCCGCCGCCGCGTCCTCCAGGGCGGAGCTGCGAGAGGAGTGCCTGCGGAAGGCCACGGAGTTGGCGCAGGCCGTCGCCAACGCCCTCTTCTCGCTGCCGGCCACCGAGGGCCGCGACGGCCCCGTCGTCCGCCTCCCGCCGCCCGCCAACCGCCTGCCCCGCGAGAAGCATGTGAGAATATTACTGCATCCCTCTCTCTCCCCCTCATGCTATCTCTGCTCGGCACCGTCGGTTGATGTTGGTCGACTTGTTTTAGAGAATGATTATTGCTGGCCACTGCTACTCTGCGAGTGCGTTGGTAGATTAGCGTGGGGTTTCAGTGGGACGCTTGCTCCGGTACATACGCCTATGCTTAATTTTGCGATTTTTGTATGCGGAAGATGTAGTGGAGCAATTGATATCTGTAGCCTGTAGGGTGTGTACATTACAACAGATGCCAGGGTACCATACTAGCATGAGAGTACAGCTGCCCCAGCCAGCGTATTATTCAATTATCGTTTGTATGGGTTCTAATTTTTCATTCTTGCTCTGCACTAATCCTTAAAAGAGATATTAAGCTGGACAGACCTTATGTTATGATAATATATGCATGTACTGCAAGATGTTGAATCCTTTTCTTTAATGTCACCAGTTACCAAGGCCGAAGCCTCCTACCAAGTGGGAGCAGTTCGCAAAGTCGAAAGGTGAGCCTGTTATTCTTGCTGGCTTGCTGAATGCTTTTTATTGCAAGTGTACTTGCTTGGGTTTGATATGACAGGAACATACCTGCAGGGATTATCAAGCACAAGAAGAACAAGCGTGCATGGGACGAGCAAACTAATTCCTGGAAGCGGACTTATGGCTATGATCGTGTTAATGATGACAGAGACGTTCCCATCATTGAAGCCAAATTGACAGATGGTGAGCAATTTGTCTTCTCTATCTATGGCTGGTGAATCTTGTTTTGTAGCAAGAGTAGTAATCTATTCAAGCTTGCTTTCCCCATGCATGAACTGTGACACAAATGCTTAACAGCCTGCATGCTTCTGCTTATGTACACCGATTTAGTCCAGTGTTCATTTTAAATCTCCAACGCTCTTTGCATTTTGACTAATTGAATCTAACGACTACCAATCTTGTTTTGTAACAACTAACAAGAGTAGCAAGCATTTCAAGCTTTAACCCCACCGAGTACCTACTGCAGTCGTGTGCTGTGACACAAATGCTTGACAACCTGCACACTTCTGCTTCGTACACTGATTTAGTCCACCTATCATTTTTATTCTCCGGTAATCTTTTTCATTTATGGCTGGTTGAATCTTTCGAGTCTAAATTGTCAATAGAATTAGTTCTAAAATGTATGCGACTAAAAACATGTTTGCATTCTGTTACCCTTTTAACTAAGTATGATTTATTGCAGAGCCTGGTGTTGATCCTTTTGCTCAAAGAAGGGAAGAGAAGAAGGGCAGGGTAGATAAACAAGAAAAGAACAGACTTGGAAATTTGAAGAATGCTGCAAAAGTTGGTGCTCTGCCAAGGTAATCCTTTCCTACTAGCTAGTATCATCTATATAACTCATGCACTACCTAGTTTATTATTCATTAATTACATTGGCAACTCAAGTTTATAACAGCTTTCTGAAAAACATTATGCAGCCATATACAGCTTGCTGCCACGTCCGTGCCCATCACAGGAACTAAAGCTGATCTGCCTAGAAAAGCTAAGAAGGAAGACCTCGAGAATGTTGCTGGTATGGCTTCGGCGGCAACAGCTAGCGGTGGAAAGTTCGACAAAAAGTTGCCTGGCGAGAAACCTCTCAAGAAAGCTGGCAAAAACAGAAAGGTTTTTCTTCTATGAACTTATTTGCTTTTGTAAATCCAAGTGCCTTTGTGAGTTGATAGTTTGGATTAGCTTAACTGTTTTCTTTTCTGCAGTTCCTCCCTGTCGTTGAAGGGAAAGGAATGGGCAACCTGGAGAAACAGCAAAACGACAAGATCCTGAACAGTCTACTGGCCAAGAACTTCGAGGAGCCGTTGGATGTCAGCAAGGCAAGCCTCCAGGATTCAGTATATATATTGCTTCCATTTGTCTAGCCCACCATCTAACAGCAGGAGTACATAACTTTGATGCCAGGCAATCACGATGTACAAGGTGAAGAAGGACAACAAGAGGAGGAAAGACAAGCAATCATCGTCATCCGGATCGAATAAGTTGAAGCCCCAGAAGAAAATCCACAAGAAATCTTCAAAGAAAAGTGCTTAGGTTAGGTCCGCATCATCCTCGAGACGTGGTTTGCTGCAGGCGGCGAGAGCAGTTTCCAAGCATCATGGAGAGTGTTGGCAGGTTTTGTATGGTTGTTGTCCTGTTTAAGTCCAAGGGAGAAAGATTGTTAATCCAGTTACTGGTTATGACACAAGAACCTGCATGTTGTTATGACATAGCTGTAAGGATATGCGCGTACTATATTTTTAGAAGTTTGGAAAATGTTTCTTGAAAGCTTTGTTAGCAGTATAGAAAGCAGCCTAACACCAAAGAGATTTTATCTCTGTGAGCGCACGCCTTAATTTAGCCTGTGAAACTCTGAATCAACAATCAAGTAAAGCTTCTACGCTTTAGTTGAAAGTTCATGTCATTGTAGTCTGTTAACATCGATTCAGGTAACACAACACAAATAAGAATCCAATGCTGCCATCCAAGTTGTGCTGGCCATTGCTGAGATTAAAAGTTTGCTGATACTGGCACACCAAAGAAGAGCATGTTGACAATTCGTTGCTTCTTGCGACTGCCTTGGAACGCTCCGGCGCCCTAAAAAAAGGCAGCAGGGTTCAGGGAAGGGTCCGACCACTCAGTGCCCTAACATTGACAAATTGAATAGAAAATACAAGAGTTCAAAAAGGAGAGGTCAACTAAGATTGGGGTGTGGTGGCGGGGTGGCAAAGGGAGCGCAAATTAAATAGAAAATACAAGAGGACAAATGTGTTCATAAAGAGAGGTCAACTAAGATTGGGGTGGTGGCTTGGGGAGAGCACGTCCTG